CAAAAAAAGGGCAAAGGATCTAGATACACACCTCTTTAAGTACCTTTTGAAAGAGGACATACAGAAGGCCCAGAGACATATGAAAACATGCTCAAAGTCACTAATAATCTGAGAGATGCAAATCAAAACAACAATGAGGTACCATCTCACACCTGTCAGAATGGCTATCATCAACAAATCAACAAAGGACAAGTGCTGGTGAGGATATGGAGAAAAAGGAACCTTCTTGCACTGCTGGTGGGAATGCAGACTGGTGCAGCCACTGTGGAAAACAGTACGGTGTTTCCTCAAAAAAAATTAAAAATGGAACTTCCATTTGACCCAGTAATCCCACTTCTAGGACTGTATCCCAAGAAAACAGAAACACCAATCAGAAAGGATATACGCACTCCTATGTTCATAGCAGCACAATTTACAATAGTTAAGATTTGGAAACAGTCTAAGTGCCCATCAGCAGATGAGTGGATTAGAAGAAAGTGGTATATCTACACAGTGGAATACTACGCTGCTCTAAAAAAGAAGGAATTCTTACCATTTGCAACAGCATGGATGGAACTGGAGAGCATTATGCTAAGCCAGTTAGAGAAAGATAAATATCACATGATCTCACTCATCTGTGGAATATAATGAACAACATAAACTGATGAACAAAAATAGAACCAGAGACATAGAAGCATTGAACAGACTATCCAACCTATGAGGGAAAGTGGGAGGTGAGGGGGTCAGAGATCAACCAAAGGACTTGTATGTATGCATATGAGCATAACCAATGGACACAGACAGTGGGGACAGGGGCAGTGAGGGCATGTGCTGGGGGGGGTAGCTGGGGAGAGGTCAATGGGGAAAAAAGGGAGACTTGTGTAATACTTTAAACAATAAAGAATTTAAAAATAATAAATCATTAAGTTTGCGCCCCCAGTAATAATAATAATAAAGGATTGGACTAATCAGCTTCTATATATAGGTGGTTTTTAAATTGCATTACTTAGGATGTTTATCATTTATTTACTCGACTTTTGCCCTTGCATCAAAAAGAGAAAGGAATCTGTCTTAATATTAAGACTTAGGATACTTTGGTTTAAGAAGCTGGTGAGATGCTGAAGGGGGATTAGAATTTAGGTATTACCTACCCAAAATTCAGGAATTGGCAAATAGAGCAGAAATCTCTATCATCAGGTAGTCAAGTAGGTGAGGTTATACTACTAGTGAAATTGTTTTCATTATTTCCTTTACTCTGTATGAGAAGTTTTAGTCTCCAAATAAAAAGTTGAAAGTGCACATATTGGATAAATGATGGATTTTTTCTTTCTTCAAGTTGGTATTTCTTGATTTAAAATCTTAAAGTATATTGACTAGTTTTAGGATTCACTTCAGAGCTTCTTTAAAATGCACAGTGTGACTTGATTTTTAAATCTTTGTTTTACATACTTTCAGGAACCCATTTATTATAGAAAGCAAGAATAGCTGTGTTCTCCCTGGGGTTGGTTGTTGCAGTCAAATCCTTTTAAAACATGAACTAGAAAGATTAGAATTATCAACATATTTAAAATGGCCATTTTACCCAAAGCAATATACAGATTTAATGCAATCCCCATCAAAATCCCAATGTCATATTTTAAAGAAATAGGACGATAAATAATCAGATTTGTATGGAACCACAAAAGACCCCAAATAGCCAAAGCAAACCTGAGAAAAAAGAATGAAGCTGGAGGTATCACACTACCTGACTTCAAATTATACTAGAGCTATAATAACCAAAACAGCATGGTATTGGCACAGAAACAGACACACAGACCAATGGAACAGCATAGAGAGCCCAGCTATAAAACCACATGTATATGGACAGATAATTTTCGACTAAGGAGCCAGAAACACACAATGGAGTAAAGATAGTCTCTTCAATAAATGGTGCTGGGAAAACTGGAAAGTCGCATGCAAACAAATGAAACTGGACTACAGTTTGTCCCCATGTACAAAAATTAATTCAGAATGGACCAAAAATCTAAGTATAAGACCCTAAAAAATAAGTTGCATAAAAGAAGATATAGGCACCAAACTTAATGGTCCCTAGTTGTAGAGAACATTTTATGAACTTGACCCCAAAGGCAAGGGAAGTAAAGGCAAAAATAAATGAATGGGACTATATCAAACTAAAAAGCTTCTGCACTGCAAAAGAAATGACAACAAAACAAAGGTGGCTCCAACAAAGGTTTAATTTCCAAAATATATAAAGAACTCATAAAACTCAACACCAAACAAACAACCCAATCAAACAATGGGCAGAGGACCTGAAAATACACCTCTCCCAAGAAGACATGTGAACAGCCAACACATATATGAAAAGATGTTCAACCTCATTAGCAGTTAGGTAAATGCAAATCAAAACTACAATGAGATGCTACCTCACACCTATTAGAGTGGCCATTATCAACAAGACAAGCAATAACAAGTGTTGGGGAGGTTGTGGGAAAAGGGAACCCTCATTCACTGCTGGTGGGAATGTAAACTGGTACAACCACTATAGAAAGCAGTCTGGCAATTCCTCAAAAAATTAAGAATAGACCTACCATATGGCCCAGCAACCCCTCTCCTGGGTATGTAAATCATGTATTCGAACATGTATCCATGTTCACTGCAGCATTATTCATGGTGGCCAGGACATGGAAACAACCAAAGTGTTCTGTGGTAGAGAACTGGATAAAGAAGATGTGCTACATATACACAATGGAATACTACTCAACCATAAGAAAGGATGAAATAGCACCATTTGCAACAACATGGATGGACCTTGAGAATATTATGTTAAGTGAAATAAGTCAGACAGAAAAAGCTAAGAACCATATGACTTCACTCATATGTGTGATATAAAACTGAAACTTATGAACACAAACAGCAGAGTGCTGGTTGGCAGAGGGAAGTGGGTGGGGAGAAAGGAGTACTAATATGAGGTGACAGGAGAAGATTTGACTTTGGGTGATGGGCACACGGTGCAATATACAGATTTTATAACATAGAAACCCACACCTAAAACCTATATGATCATATTAACCAATGTCACCCCAATAAATTTAATTTTAAAACTATAAATAAAGAAATAAGATTAGGATTTAATACATTTTTTGTTATGTAGAGCATAAAATGTTCTCTACAAGCAAGATTAATCTACTTCCTAGTTGACAGTGTATCAGAAAGTACATACTATGTATTTTTTAATCATGGCATATTTCCAATTTTTAGATTTGTTTATAGTTATGTCAGGAAGACTGAAAGCTTTTTTCTTTATCTTTTCCCAAATCTACTGAATTTAGGAAGTAATAGGATGGTGAACCTGTCACCAAGCTGTTTGACAAAGCTTTTGTTTTGTTTTGTTTTTGCCACAAGGTACTGGAAAGACAAGAACCATCACCAAAAGTAGGAAGAGAGGTACCTTTGGTTTAGCTACTATGTAATAGTAATCACAATGAAGTACAATGTCTTGGTAAGAAAGAGAATACCAATGACATCAATAATGAGTAGCTTGCAACATCAAAGAGACTACTACATGGAAAGTGCAGCTTTTAGAAATGGAAAATATCCAACCCAGGAAAATGCGGAAGTTTATAAAATAAGCAGGTCGCGTGCAAACTGTATTTAAGCAGGTTGGAAAAAAGAAAAGTTGGTGAAAAAAATTTAAGGCAATTATAAGTTTTCAAATTACTCAAAATTAGTTTACTGGAGTGCTACTGGATCTATTTGGTCATAATGGTGCAGAGAACTTGATGAGAGAAAAAAGTAAACTTTAATGATCACTTTGTCCAATTAAAGAAGACATAAGGGAGCATGCTAACTCTATAATTGTCTCCTCAAATTGATGACTTGATGGTAAAGTTGTAAATGAACAGATGATCTGGGTCCAACTGTCAAATTAAATATAGATAGCTACCAGAACTAGCTAATATTCTCCTATATTTGAAGGATCTAAAAGTAAAGTTTTAGGTACAGAGTAATAAATCACTTAAATATAAATTAATAACATGCCTTTTGGGGAGGTTTGTAGATCTTGTGTTCTACTTGATTAGAAGTATGTACAGTATTAAGCAATATGAGTTTAAGTAGGCATATAAAGGTTGTCTTGTGGGCATAAAATTTTAGTTAAAAGTTGTATATGATAAGATAAAGGATAATATTGAACCAGGAAAGGACAGTGATTTATAAATCTAAGTCATGCCTATACATTTATTAAAATATATGCTTGACTATAAATTTTATGTGGACTTACTCTGGATTGCCACTGTGAGATAAGTTGTGAAAGTTCAACATATTACTATTTCCTCATGAGTACTAGCAATTATGATGATAAAGGGATAGAATGTTATTTCAATCATTGATGAGAACATTGCATGTGGATAAGATCTCAAGTAAAGAAAAAAATGAAAGGAGGACCTATGTAATACTTTCAACAATAAAGATTTTTTTAAAACAAAAAAAATGAGACTCGTAGATTCTTGAGTCTTTTGTGTTCTGTGTTGTTTACATGGTGGTTTAGAAGTGTAGGTGGGGCTGATTGAGTTTTCCAAGTTGGAGAGGTAAAAGGAGAATTAAAAGGTAACATATTGCTGGTGGAATGTTAGAATTTTTAATGATTCACCTACCTATAACTTAGTTTACGAGTTCTCTCAGTATCGCTATCATAACATTAATGTGCAACCTATCTATAGCCAGCTGCTTTACTCTAAAACATGTCTGGCTCTTTGGCAGGCTTCAGAGACAACATTTGTTGTATAGGATTGTTTATGGTAGCAGGATCAAGGAAGCTTAGTGAATGTGTGTGATCCAGTAGAATATGGACTAGCCCACCATTTGGAGTTACTGTTGTTCTAACAAAGCACATGTGAAGAGTCAAGGGAATTTGTATGCTTTAAAAAAATGTGTTAATGTCTTATATGATTTATTTTCCTTCATTTAAAAGAATTGATGCAAAACATTTGTGTTATTCCCTTTCTTTCTCTCCCTCCTCTTAGAATAATATAGCTGATCCAGAAGAACTGTTCACAAAATTAGAACGCATTGGAAAAGGCTCCTTTGGAGAAGTTTTCAAAGGAATTGATAACCGTACCCAGCAAGTGGTTGCTATTAAAATTATAGACCTTGAGGAAGCTGAAGATGAAATTGAAGACATTCAGCAAGAAATAACTGTTTTGAGTCAGTGTGACAGCTCATATGTAACAAAATACTATGGATCATATTTAAAGGTAATGTGTGTGCTGTATTATTTGTCATAATGTATTTTCATTATAAGTTTTTCTTTCTTTTTTAAATTCTTTTTTTTTGAAATGCAATGTCTTAAATTAGGATTTGGCAGTCTTTAGCTTCCAGGCAGAATTCAGCCCCATTTATAGTGCCAAATAGAATTTGTATAGATCTAGCAGCTGTATCTTCAATGCATCCCAGTACTCAGCTGCATCATTTTTCCCACACCTGAACCTTTGGATTGATGGAGGAGCAGAAATGCAGCTGGTCCTTGAGACATATCCTTTGTTAAGAAAGAACTTTCCCCCAGTGCTTTCACACATTATTCTCAGTGGTCCGGTCTGTCTCAACTTCAGAATTTATAGACTATGTAAGTCTGTAACTTATTCCATTGAGGTTTGGTCATTATTTATACACCTCTCTTTCCCTCCAGATTGTGAGCTCTGTGATGGAGGGAGATTAGCTCAACTGGTCTTGGTTTTTACATCACTTAGCAGAGGGCATGGCATATCTTATGCAACTGATAAATATTTGTTTAAATGAAATTAAAATGAATAATATCTGTTCCCTCCTACACCCGTCCAAAAAAATGGATTTTTAGTTTCTAGGATCGTGGAATTAGCAGACACCTAAAGTTCCAGCAGATGGAGATGTTACTGCATAACAGAAAACTCTTTAGTTAGTAAATCCACGAGTTCCTGGGTTCCAGAGGTAGTTCAATTTGTGTCTATTGCATGTGAAGCATAAATACAAAAATAGCTTAGGTTAGAGTTTAAATTATGTTAAAATTAAAATTTATTTTCCTAGTGTTGAAATTTTTCAATGGAAGGCACTATTAGTTAGATCTTTGCTTTTTAGGGTTTACATGGGGTGGGTGAGGATTTGTTTTGTTCAATTTTTTTCTTTATTTCTAGGCCAAAAGGGGTATGTTTATAACTTCTCAAGCTGTTGACCTGCATAAAAATTAATGCTATATTTTTATGTTCTGCTGACCAAGTAAGCCCTAGGATAACCTATCTAAAGATACAGGAATTCATCCAACAATTTTCCTGCCTTTTTACAAAGTTTGATTTATTCTAATATTACATGAATTAGATGAATGTGCAAAGAATGCATAGTAGAATGAATCATTAAACAGCCAAATAGTCACTATGTATTATACATTTTACTAGGTGCTAGCTATAAAAATGAACAACTCACCACTGCCATTAAGGAGCTCACCATCCCATATTGCACTAAAAAGGGGCCAATTTTGTTATTAAGTATGTACAAGGTATAAGTAGAGCACAAATAAGCAAGTAGTCACTTCTATCCTTTATTTTGGAGGGGAGGGTGAAGGCTTCAAGAAAGGCTTCCAAGAAAAGGTGTTTCTGCTGGAAATTTCTGTTCAATTTACTTCTTACAGTGAGCCATTACTCCATTTTACTATGTAAATAATTATATAGGAAGCTTATTTAGTGGTAATATTCTTTTTTAGTAATCCTAGGGACACTCAATCTCGTAGTTTTATGTCTCCCCCCTAATTCCCATAGCAGCCTTGGTTACAGACAGCCCCAAGAATTTGTTGTGTGTATGTGTGTGTTGTTATTGTCCTTGTTGTTTGTTTGTTCTGGCTTACTCTTCCTGGATTGAATCCTGCTAATTCCAGACCCTTCCTATTTTTAGGCATAGATAAGCTATTTTTGATAACTAACTTAAAATATTAAATAAGCCCTATTTAAAATGGGCTATTCTATATTATAATGAAAATGGGTACTGAAATGGTATTGACTGTTTTATTGGTTGCTTATAGTCTTTGTTCATATTCAATATCCTCATGGAAAATGAATTGTAGGTCTTTTTGTATTAAATTTCCCTCATGGTACACATGTACCAGTCACCCAGTAAATACTTAATTTTTAAGCAAATAAAACTGATAATTCTTATCCAAATCTTGACTGTAGAATGTTCTCACACCAGTTAGTGACATAAAACCATTATCTAAGATGTCTTCTTCAAGGATTAAACAGAATTATTTTTTTTCTTTTATCCATCAGTAAGTAAAGTCCATGATGGTTACTTTAAGAAACATGTCATTTCATGATAAAATTGTTGAAGTTCACAGCTGGCTGATATTATTTGTATCCTGAATATATTTACCTTAAAGTAAATAAACATATATGTATTAACTCTATATAGATGTACACATATACACAAAAAAAGAAATGTCCTATTATTTTATAACCTTTTCTAATATATTTTATTTAAATTATTTTCATAAATCGACCAACTTGTTTATTTTCCATTTATATTAAAACATAGTGTGGCTCTGTGGGCTTGTATTTTTTAAGTAAAATCCTATCAAGTGTAACAGGGTTCTGTTTAATGAAGTCACTGTAATTCAAGGCTGCATCCTTTAAATACCATCTGGGAACTGCATTATCAGTCAACTTATATTCTTATTGTGACCCATCCTTCCATTTCAGATGACATGGGGAATTTTGTGGGTCAAGTCAATTGAGTAGAGTAGAATATGTGGTTTACATATCCTACTCAGGATATGTGAGTTTAAAGAATAGCTTTAAACTTCACATAACCAAGAAATCACTGTATGCTGAAGGAAAAGTTATTGCTTTCGAGAGAAAATTATATTCTCTTTGGAACTGTATGTAGTTGTAATGATTTTTTTTTTGAGACATGAAAAAATGTACTGGTGTTCATTTTGACTGAGCTCATTGTATAACTTCGTTTTTAAAAACAAGAGTAAAAACAAGACAAACACATCAGTATGACCACAGTATTTTCCTTTCATTTTAGTTCACTGCAGATTTTCTTGAGAAACAAAGTTAGTCTTTATAAAGTGTACTAAAATAAGCGAACCCTTCCTTTCTGATCTCATAATATTGGAAGAATATTTTATAATCTTTAAATATTTTTCTAGTTCAATGTAAATATTAAAATGAAGCTTACTCAGGCATTGAATAGAATTTGAATCATGCCTTTATTTGCTGTTCAAAAATGCCTTTAGATTTAGATTTATGTTTATGTTAAGGAAATATGCTCCCCTCCTGATACTACCACCAATATTTATTTTTTTAAAAAAATAATTGAATGGTTTAAGTAAAATATTCCAGAATAGAGTCTGTACAATTTTGTAGCCGTCTCATTTTTCCTGAGACTTTTGTGTGTGCATAATGTACATAATTCCAGGGTTGGGTGAATGTTTCCGGAATATTCCTTAAAAATAGTATGAGTTTTCCTTTGTTATGTTCATTTCCTTTATATTGACTTTATTAGGGTGCCACTAGTTAACAAAGTTATACTGGTTTCAGGTGCACAATTCAACAACACATCATCTGTACATTGTATTGTGTGTTCACTACCCCAAGTCAAGTCTCCTTCCATCGCCATTTATACCTCATATACCCTTCTCTACCTCCTCCCACCCCCTTCACCCTGGCAATCACCATACTGTTGTCCATGACCAGGACTTTAAAAAAAATACATGAAGGAAATTGAGGAGGGAAATTTTTTCTCCTTACTTTTTTCTTTCTTTTCAAAATAAGAATAGCTTTCAACTTCACATAACACACTTCTACAAAGCCCCATATAAGGTTCAATTCAACAGCCATTTACTTATGTGTATTGTTGTCATTATGCATATTTTCCCTGGTCAGTCTCATCCACTTTATTCTGACAACGTCTAAATTCGTGTCTCTGGTTCCAGCCTCTCTCCTTAGGTCCAGATATGTACATCTAATTTGCCTCATATTATCCACTTACCTATGGTACATAAAATGCAATGACCCCAAAACTGGGGAGTAGTATTTGAGCTAAGTCCTGAGTATGATTTTGAGGGAGGTTGGGATGTGAAGGTGGGGTATAGACAAGAATTCTAAACTGAAATAAAACAGTTCAGAGATGGTAAAGTATCTGGCATGATCTCTACTGTCAGTTGAAGTTCTATAAAATTTTACTTTCTTTTTTTTGTTGTTATTCTCAAGGACATGTTCATCAATTTTGAGAGAGAGAGAGAGAGAGAGAGAGAGAGAGAGAGAGAGAAATCAATTGGTTGCCTCCTGTATGCCCCAACCAGAGATTGAACCCACAACCTAGATATGTGCCCTGACTGGGAATCTTACCCACAACTCTTTGGTGTATGAGACAACATTCCAACCAACTGAGCCACACAGGTTAGGGCTATGCTACATTCTATTTTTTTTATCCTGGTAAAATATACATCATAAAATTTACCATTTTAATAATTTTAAGTGTGCAATTCTGTGACATTAAGTACATTGTTTGTTGTGCAACTATCACCACCATCCATCTCCAGAACGTTTTAATATTCCTCAACTTAAACTGTACACATTAAACTGTAAGTGCTCATTCTCTCCTCATTACGCTCCTTGGTAACCACCATCCTAATTTCTGTCTCTCTGAATTTCACTACCTTAATTTCCTTATATAAGTGAAATCATAGAGTATTTGTTCTTTGGTGACTAGCTTATTTTACTTATACATGCTGGTTTATCTGGTCAATGTCATGATTGGCTATTGGAGTTATAGACCAGCTCACTTCATTCAACATGTACTTGATATATAATAATGATCTCTCAAATACATAAAATGAGTATTTTAAATCTATTTTCTATGAACAAATGCATTCCAAGTTCCACAGCAGCATTTTTCTCCCCTTTGGCCAAGTGTCGCCTTTAGCAACAAACAGTGGGGTTCAAAGGCCTCATGGGGTAACAGAGTTGATACTCTAGACACCAGTAATTTTTTAACACTAGACTCCAACCACTCCTCAGTAAATAGTACAATTATAGAATACTTGCTCTTTAGGCAGTTTGAATTTTGGAACAGAGAGCTACTTCCTAACACTTAGCTGACAAACTATGTTGATGCAGGACTTTAAACTTATTCCTCTGACCCATTTTTTAAAATGTGTGGATCATTTTATAAGTGAAGAAGTGGAGTTTTTCCTACAGAGACTTCCAATGCTTACATGTACAGGATGTATGGTTATGGTTTTCAGTCACTTGGCTCTTTTAGAATTGTAAACCAGTATGTAGACATCTTAGCTTCTTAAATTCTTTAAAAGCAAACCAAACATACTTATTTGCTTTCTCCAACACAAACATCTTTTACCAGAAATCAAAGATAGAAGCTTTAGTCCCTCCAAAAGAAGGAAAACATAGGATATAGATTTTTTTATTTTGTTTTGCTTGTGATTGGTGTTTTTTTTATTGAGAACTGCGGTGGCTGAGGAACTGGTAAACAGAGCCTCTGTGGGTTAAGCTTCCTTGAGCAGGGAGTAACCCCACTAGCTCACCATTTATGCCTATGCCCACTCAGTCCTTGCTTCAGTACTCATACCTGCCTAGCAATCTTCTGAATATCCAGACCTATGGCCATCCTCCAGTGAATCTTGTCTCTGGAAATGGTGATCAGAAGGAAGCAAACAGAAAAGCTATTGGGCAGTTCTGGTTCTCTGCCGGTGTCAGAAGAGTTCTACCTACTTCCACTGGGTTGTGGGGACTAAGAGGAAGCCTTCTTTTCAGATCGAGAAGTTAATTAGTCATAACTTTAATCACATTTTAAACTTTATATGAATATTTTTGGTGAAGAATAGAAGTTGGTAAGGTTCTGTTTTGAATTTGTACCAAACACATTGTTTTTAACTTGGAAAACAGATGCTTTCATTCATGCAGAACTGCAGAAACAGATAAAAATGTTTTATAAGATTCTTCATTTTTCTTTTAAATTTCAGGTGAATGGGAAGCATTCTGAATTCATAAGGTAGAATATAATAATTGTTAGAAATAAACTTGTGCAAAAGAAAAATCTCAGGCTATCCAGTGTTGTGAGAAGCCCTTTCTTCTCTTGAAAAGAATATAAAATACACATCACGTTCATAATTTTGAGGTTCAGAATACCTGGTTTCTATACATAAAAATGAGTTACAAGACCCAATCCTGGAATTCCTATCTCCTTCCCAACATAATGGGAATTTATTTCCTCTCTCTCCTTCTATAGACACTACTTGCTATCAAAGACTCTCAGCTCTTTCTTTCCTCAGGTCAAGCTGGCCCTTTGTGACAGGAGAGAGTGGGTGTCAAGACTAGGGGGAGGGAGCATTGTTCCTCTCTTTCTCTTGTACATCCTACATAGTGTCAGCATCAAGAAAGAAAGAAAGGAGAGAAAGGAGGAATCCTTTCATCTTAAATTAACGGAGCCCGCCATCCCTGGTCTCTAACTAACCCTAGGCCACATCCCGTTCTCCACACTGTAATGTCACCTAAACACTCATCATCATATTACTGGAATCCATTCTCTGCCATGATAAAGCCCCAGCCTCATGAAGATGCTTGCATATTTTCAAACTCCTCAGACATTTTGAATGAGTACTCCCAGGGATTTTAGAATTTGAGGGCTACTGACAATAGTTTGAGAATCTTCATCCCACAGCTGGGGTTGTAAAGCTGAGAAAGGTGTTAACTAGCATCCCAAGTTAAGCATATTTCCCATTATATATATATATATATATATATATATATATATATATATATATATATATATATATATATATAAATTCCCAATATATATATTTTCCTCTAGAAACGTTGTTATGGTATAAATAGTAGTTAGTTTCTCTGCTACTCTTCCTGCTATACTATGGATACCTTTACATTAAATTGTCTTTTGGGGGAATACCCCAGGAAACTAGACATTATTTTTATGGGAAAATGCTTGCTTTATAAATTCCAAACATCTTACTTAAAAATATACTTTTGAAACACAATCCAATCTCAACTTGGCACTTGCCAGTATAGTAAAACCAACCATTTCTCTTCCAGTCAACTCTGTGGTCCCACAAAAATTCAGAGGATACCACTCATGAAATGGTATGGAAAGAGTGACGTCCCTAGTATTTCAAGCTATAGTTGAAAGAAGGAGGAAAAAAGATACAATAGTTTATTCCAACTTTTATCTGATAGAGCTGAATAGTGTGTGTGTGTGTGTGTGTGTGTGTGCGCGCGCACGCGCACACAACTGTTTTGGAATTCACATATATGCATTCTCTCTATGCACCCCATTTGCTCTTGTACAACTTACAGTGAAGTTATCTCTACCTGGAGTGATTGTATTCTTTTTAAACTGTATACTCCCTTCTCTTATCTATTTACCTGGGTAGGGGACAGTATTCTTTCTAGGTTCTATGTTTATAAAACATGTCATTAATCATGGCTGAATAAAGTTGTAAAGTAATAAAAACAAAAAGCAAAAATTAAAAGAAGGCAAAATATTCGGTGTCCTTAAACTCAAAAATTGAATGAAAACACTCAGAATTCCTGTTCAAAATTTCTTCAGGTTTCCATTTATTTCCTCATTCTGTAATGCATCTTTCTTTTCCCTTTAATATTATCATTCGAAATAATAATTTAAAGCTATGGTTTATATTTTCTGGGTTTTATAAAAATTGCTAATAGTTCCATAATAAGAAACAATAGCTACTTAGTTAGCTATATCATAAGCTAACTAAATTTCGAGGAGGATCAAGTCTCAGAATTTTACTTTCATTTTTAATGTTCTATGGAAAAATAATATTCAGGATTCCAAACACTGAACTTTAATATACTGTATTTTAAAACCAGTACATTAGTATATCAGATTTAACGTTTATGTTGGTTATGCTCAGGTTTGTAATTATACATTGTTTCGTGGCTCTTGCAGGGCTCAAAATTATGGATAATAATGGAATACCTAGGTGGCGGTTCAGCGCTGGATCTTGTAAGTATTTTTAAATAAACACACACATCCATGCTATAACCTCTTTTTTAATTGGAGTAAACAACAGCTTTTGGGCAAGCTAAGTGATTGCTTTAGTTAATATGTTCACATTAAACTCTTCAGGACCACTACCCTTACGTAGATTTACTTGTATTGCAGGATTGACCACGTTGCTCACCTTCTTAGAGTATATAAGAAGTGCAAATAGCTTAATAAAATCAAACCCCCCAATTTAGGAATGAGTGTGTGACAGATGCTGTCAGTTTAGAGTTTTACTTCGTAAGGTTATCCCTGAAAAGACTGAATGTTCTTAGATTTTTAAATATAATGTAATTCGAGTAACTGTCACTAAAAGTGGTTCTTGGGTTCTGACCACATAGGCCTATAGATCCCATTCTCTATAGTTTTCTCTTCTCCTTTATAGATCATTTGAAAATGTGATGGCATTTGTGGTTGTCAAATGACTTGGAAGTGCTGCAGCACTTTTAGTGGACAGGGATGAGGATGCTAAAATTCCAGTGTGCAGAAATTCCACCCAATGAAGATGTGTTCACACCCAAAACACCTTTGAGAAATACTGGTTATTTTTGCCAAATTACTGTGATTCTATCAATGTTGTTTTTTGCCCCTTTACAATCTTTATTAAAATGGCATTGTATTTAAAATTCAATGTGAAGTACTAAAGGCAGCTTTGTGTAGTAGAATGACTACTGGGATGGCCTATGGAAGTTTGAGTTTATAGAGCTGGCTCTGTTCATAACTAAATCATTGTGAACCAAACACATAAAATCCTTGGACTTTGATGTCATATAAAACAAAGAAGTGGCACTAAGTTACTTCTAAGTTATATTTAATATTATATGACATATTTTATTAGTATGCTCCTGCTTTTGAAATTATAGAATATGCTACTTCTAAAAATAAGATCATCAAGTACTATTTTAATTCTTACTTTTTCTGTGGAGATGAGTTTTCCTAACTGAAAATGATTAAATAGTTTAAATAGGATTTAATCCTGACTGTCGGTAACTCAAAGTTTCCAATAATCCTATGAACAGAAATAGCCATAAGAGATTCTTTCCTTTAAACAGAACCATTCTTTTTTTTTTTTAAAGAACCATTCTTAAACCATTCTAAAGAAATGGTAATTAAACTTGATGGAGAGTTTCATCTCCTCCTAGGAATTCATCTCAGTTTAATCAGCTGAGTTAAATAATCCTTCCTTGTGGAATATGTGATATACATTCTTATATTCTAAAGTTCATTTTTTTTCTGTTCCCTCTCTAGTGATAGAACACAAGTGGTGTTTCTTTGTATAATAATCCTTCATATACGGAGTCAGATCTCATTCTTGTATTAAAGTTAAATAATCTCATTTCTATTCGTCTTGTCACAATTTTGTTATACAATAGTTTTTGTTTTGTTTTGTTTTTTATTAGCTCCATAAGAAGTCTACAGTTGCTCCATGATCCTCCTTCCACTTTTTATACATTAAGAGCCCTTTCCAAATTTATCACAGTTAAGTTATCTGGTCTCCCATGGTGCTCACAATGTCTCTTCCCTGCTTAGTTAGCATTGACAAAGCTAGTCCACTGATTTCATCAGGATCACTGATAAGAATGATACACATTAGACACTGGCCCAACCCTAACACAGTCTGTATCCCCCAGTGATAGTTTGGTCAGTTTTATGAAATCTATGAATGAAATGATTGTGAGACCTTAATCTTATCCTGCCATTCTGCCCTCTGCCTAATCAAATTCGAATTAGCACAAATTCAATGAACTTAAATTTTTCTTAGCCTTGTAGTGGCTAAATATCAAAAGTCCTAGGTTCCAGTCTTGGTTCTTCCATTGACTAGCTGTCTTAATTTACTCAAATCTTAACTGAAGAAATTAAGTTAGTAGTCTCTAGTCTTATTTTTCTAGCTCTAAAATATAATAATATTGTGATTTATGTATAAATCTAATTTAACTGGACTTTGTAAAGAGAGCAAATAACGAGAAAATGTGCTATTTCTTCTCCATTTATAGTCCTGTACAAATGAATACTATCATTTAAGGAATCTAATAAAGGATTAGGCTTAGAGGCTTAGGCTACCAGGAACAAGAGAAAAAAAAAGAGGGATGCTGAACAGAAAGAGTTTATCGTTAACATTAAGCTGGTACCTGACTAATGGAATATGACTGTGACTTTTAATTTATGTCAACATTATATAGTCTATACCTCAAGATTCTCTTCCATTCTTGAAAAAAATGTGTTGTATGTCAACAGACTTTGAGCATACTATATGATATATATTGAATTGCAGTGGTTTACAACAAAAGCACATATAATAAGGTTAATAGAATAAAATATGAGCACCAAGGAAAAAAAGAAACAATATGCTAACTGTAAGAAAGCATAACATAACATGTTGCACCGGGGACAGGTTATTGGAAGTCAAATGATTGTGGGGAAAATCCCCAAATGCACAAGTATACATTCTTTGAAAGAACAAATGTCCTTCTCTTGCATATCTTCAGTTGACAACAGAGGCATATTACCCAAGGCCAGTATGCTGCCCTGGAGGCAGAGGTATTAGCTATTAGAGACATGGCACAATCTTCAGTCATTGGAGAGAAGTTCAAATGCACTCCAAGTACAGTAGACATTCTTTTTCCCAAGGTTGCATTGGGAGACACACACACACACCAAAAAAAACAAACCCTCTATTCCATCTACTTTACTTTTCTTCTCTTTCCAACTCCTTTTCCCCCTCTTTGTCTAATCATTATTAAGATGACTAAGGAAACATTTTAACCACAAGGTTTGGGATAGTTTTCTATCTTGGAATGAGCCATAAAAACTCAAGTATACCACTACCCCATTCTCATTTCCCTGCCACGGAATCTCCCCTCCCAGATAAGCTAATGGATTTTTAGGACCTCTTTTTTGTTTGTTTTTACTTAAATATATTTTTAAATCCCGTTTTAGGTAGTACACTGGCTTATCCAGACGACTTTTTAGAAGTCCTTCAGAGAGATAGCTGGTATCCATTATAGGAACCTTGCCCAATTTCTTAAGTAACTGAGAGTATACCTCTTATGGCCTTGTCAACATTTTGTGACCAGTGATACTCAGTACTAATTTTGAGTAGTATGATGTTTGTCTTTCAGTTATTTGGTAGTACATCAGAATTTCATTGCCAATAATCAATAAAATAATATTCAATTTTTACCATTTACAATGACTTTAATCACTACTGTTTAAATATAAATTTCTGGGGTAGAAGTTGATAGGTTTGAAAGTAAATAGGTAATGTTACCTAGGAAAGGCTTCTATTGAATTATGGATATGCCTGGAGTATACTCTATATCCAGACCACAGTTAATATTAAATGGTGAGACCGAAGTGTGGGTTCTATTTTAAGCTGTTAAATTTCAACATGAAAGTACCCTTTATTCGGAATAAATATGGCATTCATGAAAGATGAAATACACAAGGTGCCAAAGGGCTGTGAATCCCTACCAATGTGAGGCAGAGTGGGCAATGTTTGACTTTCACCACCTCTTCCCTCCTTCCAGCAAACAGAACTTTACCTCAGCTCTGACTTTAGTTTCCCACCCTTTCCTGTAAATGTTGTACAGTCTACTATTTGTGCTTTATGAGGTAGCAGAATTTTAAAATAACCATTTATTTTAAAGAGAGATTTTCAGTTATTCCATTACAACCTCTCCTGAAACCTAATCATTGCTTCCCTTGTATTCCAGTTGAAACTATTGGCTTTGGTACAGGGATGGAGAAAGAAAGGGAAATGTGTTACATTTATTTTAAAAACCGTATTCTTCCATGATTTGATCATTTTTTAACTGTGAAAGTCTGAATAGTTTAATTATTATACTCCTGGTTAAATTTTAAGTTTGAGTCCCCAAAAGTCTCTATGCTTTTACAATGTTATTAAAACACATAAATGCTAAGAACTATGCATCAGCTGACCTATATGATCAAATTGGGTTGATGCCAAAAATAAGTTCAGTGTAAATATTTAATAACTTTTTAAATGTAGTTTTTTATTTTTTATTTTTATCAATCGTCACCCCAGGATACTTCTCCATATTGATTTATTTTTTGGAGATAGTGTAAGGGAGAGGGAGAGACAGAGAGAGAAAAACATCGATGTGAGAGAGATACATAGATCAGTTATCTCCCACATGAGCCCCAACCATAGCCCGGGATCGAGCCTGCAACCAAGGTACGTGCTTTTGACCGGAATCAAACCCAGGATCCTTCAGTCTGAGGGCCGATGCTCTCACCATCTACTGACCCAAACCAGCTAGGGCTATGTTTTTATTTTTAAAATGTTTTTATTTATTTCAGAGAGAGGAAGGGAGAGGGAGAGAGAGATAGAAACATCAATGATGAGAGAGAACCATGGATCAGCTGCCATCTGCACGCCTCCTACTGGGGATCGAGCCAGCAACCCAGGCATGTGCCCTGACTGAGAATTGAAACCATGTCCTCCTGGTTCATGGGTCAACGCTCAACCTCTGAGCCACACCAACCGGGCAATATTTAATAACTTTTGAACAAATGTAAAAATTTAAGTAACTATTTTTCTTTTTCTCAGATAAAAAAATAAAGCTAGTTTTGTGATTATGTAAGTGTATCTTAAATTTTTGATGTAAATATTTAAAAACCTCAGGATTTTGAACTAGTATATAGGTCACACTGCTTGTATTATTATCTTTCACAATTAAACGTAATCATTTAAAAGCCCTTCTATTCCTTTGACTTAACTTTTTTACTTTCTTCCCTCGCCTTTTAATTTGTTCTCATTTATTTAAATATTGGTTTAATAAACAGAACTGCTTCATACATCTAGGTGGTTCCCTTATTTCGAATATAATATCAAGTTTGAATTTTATTGTTTTAAATTTTCATACATGTATGTGTGTGTATTTTCCCCCCTAAGCTGCGAGCTGGTCCATTTGATGAGTTCCAGATCGCTACCATGCTAAAGGAAATTTTGAAAGGTCTGGACTATCTGCATTCAGAAAAGAAAATCCACCGAGACATAAAAGGTATACAAAAATTTAATATGAACATGAGAAAAATAGGTACATTCTGAGGAAGCTGAGATTTTTTTCATTGTCTTTTCCCCCCCTCCTAGCTGCTAATGTCTTGCTCTCAGAACAAGGAGATGTTAAACTTGCTGACTTTGGAGTTGCTGGCCAGCTGACAGATACACAAATTAAAAGAAATACTTTTGTGGGAACACCATTTTGGATGGCTCCTGAAGTTATTCAACAGTCTGCTTATGACTCAAAAGTAAAGCGTTGTCTACTTTTGTTTTTTATAATAAGTTTTATATAACATACTGTCCTATTTAATAAACTGCCTTAATTTACCTTCATTTTAAAGTATTTCTAAAGCTAGAGTTATGACAAATGTTGCTGCTAAATTATAACTTCCCTGATGCTGATAATATTGGGACCCCAATACCTTCCATTTTGTTCCACACAAGTTGGAGTAAAATCCAAAGTCCGTAGTATCACACACATGGCTCACTAGATCTTGGCCTTGTCCAGCTCTCCAGCTTCATCTCATGTCACTCTCCTCTATATTCTATCTGCTTCAGCCACAGTGGCCTGATTGCTGTTTCACAAACATAGCAAGCATACTTTGGCCTCAGGACTTTTGTACTTACCTTCCCTCTATCTGGAATAACCTTTCTCCCGACCAGTTTTCTGCTTTAAGCATTACCTACACAGAATAGTCTTCTCTAGCTATCCTGTGTAAATTTGCAGCCCCTCAACACCATCATTCATTATTTCCTTATCCTGATCTCTTTTCCTCGCAGAACTTAGCACCATCTGACATCATATTATTTATTTATCTGTCTCTTCTACTAGAACATAAGCCCCTTGAGAGCAGGAATTTTTGTCTGGTTTATTACCACCTGAATCCTCAGTGCCTAGACTGTGGTACTTGGCATAATATAGAGAATTTGATACTTTTTAAAAATAAATGAATTTTATTAAAAAACATTTATTAAGATCACATTTCTTGAGACACGTTAATATTGTTGTGACCATTAAAATTCCACAGGCTATTTTGTGGCAGTATTTTGGAATGGAATTTCAAGATATTTTTTTCTTTCTCTTAAACTTAGGCTGACATTTGGTCATTGGGAATTACTGCTATTGAACTAGCCAAGGGAGAGCCACCTAACTCCGATATGCATCCAATGAGAGTTTTGTTTCTTATTCCAAAAAGCAATCCTCCAACTCTTGTCGGGGAGTTTACTAAGTCCTTTAAGGAGTTTATTGATGCTTGCCTGAACAAAGATCCATCATTTGTGAGTATATGAGGCACTGTTGTCTATTATTAAATCTACATAGAACAAATATGTTTTTCCTACAGTGAGGAAATAAAGTGCATGTGAAAATTGTCAAAAGTCCATTCAGGAAACTGGTTTTTCCTTTATATTGCTAATTCTATTCAGTTCTTAACAAGATCCTTAGTTCCTTTCTCCCCTTTCCCACCCCGCCCCCGCCCTCTATCTTTTTTTTTCATGGTTCGTAGCTTCTTCCTTATTCTATTGATCATTTCCTATTTCAGAGGGAAAGAAATTTGAGAAATAAAATTTATTTAATAGGATGTCATTATTAAAGTATATGTGTGACTATTCACAATGATTTTTATTCACTGTGTTTTCACTTTTCATGAAAAGTTATATTTTCATTTAATTATTTTTACATTTAAATTTAGAAATTCCAAAATGAAGTTACATACCTTTCCTGAAGTCTAGTAAGCTCCACTCAAATCAGAAATTTGATTACAGTTGTTTTACTGTTTTTAAAATAAAGCTGCCTGGTAACTTCTAGAAACTAGAAACATATAAGAACTGTATTCTGATATTAATAAAGTACTAAGGGGAAAATATCCCCTGTAGCCCTGGTATTTGTATTTAGATGCAATATAAAATAATCTGAGAGTCATAAATTGTGTGCAGCTAATAATAAAGTTACAGCCTTGCTAGTTTTCATCCATTTTTTTTATTTTACAGTTAACACAATAAAAGTATTTCAAAGCACTATTTTGATGTTTTTAAATTTTTATTTTATTTTCAAAATCTTGCCATGTTTTTCCCTGTTTTTGAAGGCCTGCCTGCCAGTTTGCTGGTAGATAGGCCATCTTTTGCCCATTGAGCTTTAACAAATTAGTACCAAGGCAATGAGTTTAATTTGGTTGCCTTGAGCCACTTCAAAAATAGAATTAGCTATTGTCCTACAGCATTTTAGTTGTCCTCATGTATACAGACATACTTTCACACCTTTCAACTTCTTAATTGAAATGATTTCTTATCCCCTTCAGTCATAAAGAGCCTAGAAATATTTATGCATGCTTCATTTTTTCCTTAGCGTCCTACAGCTAAAGAACTTCTGAAACACAAATTCATTGTAAAAAATTCAAAGAAGACTTCTTATCTCACTGAACTGATTGATCGATTTAAGAGATGGAAGGCAGAAGGACACAGTGATGATGAATCTGATTCTGAGGGCTCTGATTCGTATGTACAAATTATTTCATTTTTATTTACATAGCGTGTTTTAACATTGTATATCTTTTAACTATGATCCAATGTGCTTTGTCTAGCATAAAATATAAACTGTATTTTAAAGTTTTACGTTAGAAACTGTGAAAGTCTTTTAAAATCAGTCGGTGAAGTACAGTGAGTTTGAAAACATGTTTTTCTTAGAATTGAGTTGCTCTGGTTTTAAATGGTCTCAGTCTAACCCCTAGTGGATACTTGAGTATATTACAAAATTTTGGAATAAGATTTTATTAAAGGTGCTATTTTTTCTTTTCTTTTTTTTATTGATTAAGTTATTACATATGTGTCCTTATCCCCACATTACCCCCATCCCCCCCCACACTTACGCCCTCACCCCCCTATTGTCTGTATTAGTTTGCCCAAAGTGATAAGGGGCTATGTCTTCACATACTTTGATGTCAACCTACAAAATCCTTCTGGAAAATGACCTGCAGGTCTTTCCCACCTCTTGACCTTGAACCAAACCATAGTCAGACTGGTACATTCAAATACAGTAAGTCCTTACTTAATATCGTTAATAGGTTCTTGGAAACTGCAAACTAAAACAAAATGTTTTATAATGAAACCAAATTTACCATAGAATAATCAATAGAAACAAGAGTTAAATTCCTATGATATATGTATGGTCACAAAAACATCACCAAGCATCTAAATAAAGCATTGAAATAAATATAAGCTATGCATACATTTAAGAAAGATGAATAATGAGTCAAATAATGACTTTCTAGCCCGCTTTTTTTTAGTTCATGGTCATGGGTGAATGGAGCCTTTTCAGTAGCTCAGGGCAAAAGGCGGAACCCACTGTGGACAGGACGCCTTTGCATCACAGGGCCCCTCACACATACCCACACTCACTCAGAGTGGGACAACTTCGACACAGCAATTCACCTCACATGCACATCTTGGGGATGCGGGAGGAAACTGGAGAATCTAGAGAAAACCCACACAGACACGGGGAGAATGTTAAACTCCACAGAAATAGTGGCCCAGACAGGGAATCTTTTTGTTTTTTTAACCCTCATCAACATTATAATGAAACGATGTTATTTGAGGACCTACTAAATTTATTTATATAGATTTATACCCCAAAAAAGTTACACTGCTTTTTAACTGCATTTACATTAACCTTTTAGTCTCTAAGTCAGTGATGGTGAACCTATGACACGCGTGTCAGAGGTCACACGCGAACTCACTTTTTTGGTTGATTTTTCTTTGTTAAATGGCATTGAAATATATAAAATAAATATTAAAAATATAAGTCTTGCCCTAACCGGTTTGGCTCAGTGGATAGAGCGTCGGCCTGCAGACTCAAGGGTCCCAGGTTCGATTCCGGTCAAGGGCATGTACCTTGGTTTCAGGCACATCCCCAGTGGGGGGTGTGCAGGAGGCAGCTGATAGATGTTTCTAACTCTCTATCCCTCTCCCTTCCTCTCTGTAAAAAAAATCAATAAAATATATTTAAAAATATATTTAAAAACAAACATATATATATATATATATGTCTTTGTTTTACTATGGTTGCAAATATCAAAAAAATTCTATATGTGACACGGCACCAGAGTTAAGTTAGAGTTTTTCAAAATGCTGACACGCCAAGCTCAAAAGGTTCGCCATCACTGCTCTAAGTCCATAACTTAGACTAGAAAAGTCTACAGACTGCACCAGAATGTACTACTCCACTGGCTGAAATACTCTCAGAGTCCTGCATTGATGAGAAATTGCCTAACTTTTGAAAGGGATAAACAAATGCCAGGATAGTTTTTGTAACCTGTTCTAGTGGTTGTTGGCCTTAGCTGCCCATGAGAGTTGCCCATGGAGCCTTAAAAAAATAAGGCACCCTATAGAAGATCCCAATCCATTCAGTGAGGAGGGGTAGGTACAGGGCTTTATATATGGTTAGAGGTTCCCATATGTGATTGTGATGCACACTTAGACTTGAGAACCATTTCTACTCTTCAATAAAATGTGTTATCTACCTGGAACTGAAATCAAATGCTTTCTTATACTATATTATTTTATACATTGGGACAGTCTCTCTTAAGAGTTTGATTGCATTGATTTGGCATTTTCACCAAGCTGAATTATTTAAGAACTTATTGAAATATCTTTGGCAATCATTTTAGGGAATCCACCAGCAGGGAAAATAATACGCATCCTGAATGGAGCTTTACCACCGTGCGAAAGAAGCCTGACCCAAAGAAACTGCAGAATGGGGCAGTATGTACATGGAAATGATCACTTCCTCTTGATAGACTTTTTCAAACTATGTAGTGAGATTTTGATGGTCAAAATTATTGGAATTTAATACCCCTAAATGCCTGTCTACTTCACTGTGTCCCTACTATACCTCATTTGTCATTAGTTATGAGCTAATTAAGAAAAGGTCATAGAAATAATTTATGTGGACACTTGTATAATGTTAAATGTATTTTACCTAGAGATACATATATATCCAGTGGAATCATGGATATCTATTGTAATCCTAGAAGTTAGAAGCCTTCTGGATGATGGATGAAATTAGTGATGGGAAGAAAGCATGGAGTCTTTTTTTGGGGAGGGGATTCGAATTAATGCACATTTATCATAGAAAAACAAAGAAAAATACAAATGAATGTTTTAAATTCATGTGTATAATCTATATTATTTGTTCAAAGGAGAAAGACCTCGTGCAAACCCTGAGCTGTTTGTCTATGATAATCACACCTGCATTTGCTGAAGTAAGTACAGATTCATCATTGACTATGTATCTTAAGAAGTATAGTAATTTTAAATGTTATAGCTATTGATCTTTCTCAGCTTAAACAGCAGGATGAGAATAATGCTAGCAGGAATCAGGCAATTGAAGAACTCGAGAAAAGTATTGCTGTGGCTGAAGCCGCCTGTCCTGGCATCACAGATAAAATGGTGAAGAAATTAATTGAAAAATTCCAAAAGTAAGTTTGAAATGTCATTTTTTAAAAACTATTTTGACATTTTTCTGTTTGATGTTAATTTATAATGCAATATAATTGCCTTGATTCAATCATTTCAATTGTTCCTTACAAAATCACTTTTTTATAGTTGTATGCTTAAAAACTCTTTTATTCTATAATGCATCAACTGTATATTGTGTTGTGTGTTCACCACCCCATGTCAAGTCTCCTTCCATCACCATTTATTCCCCCTATACCCTCTTCCACTACTCTCATCAGACCACCACTATTTACAGTTTCTAGTGCTAAAGTCCATAAATTTAACCCCCATTTAAAAAATTAAGGAATGGATTTTAGGTAGAGGAACTCAATGAAGACTATAAATGTTCCTTATAATTAACTTTAGTTTCTATACTGTGTCTTAAACTGTTGGTTTAATTTTTTTTAACATTCAACAAAGTCCTTACATTTAATTTTTAAATGCTCTTTTGAACAAGGCTTTTGTGGACATACACAGCTCCTTAGCTCAAGCAAGTATAAAGCAATACTAATTTTAGCCTTAATCCCATTATATCGCTTCTTGGTGCATCTTTATATTTCTTTGGTGATGTCCCTGGCATCAAGTAGGAACAAACTATAAAGCCTGTAAAAGCATAAACTCTCATACATCTTTAGATCTGATAAAGCCTACTTGTACTTATAACCTAAAACTCCTTAGATTTTAATGGAAAACTCCCCCCTTTTTTCCAATTTATAAAAGAAAATCAATTGCCAGTTGTAAAATCAAATGTGGAAGGGATTTTTGAACTTCTTTAAATCTTTAACATCTACATGTTAAGATTCAATGGAAAGGATTTAGTTTGCTGAATCAGTTTCTTTATTGTAGATTTCATACAGATGTGAAATATAAAAATGCATAGTTGTATATCAATATAAGTTTTTTTTTTAATTTTGTAGGTGTTCAGCAGATGAATCCCCCTAAGAAACTTAATATTGGCTTTCATTTCATGCGGACCCAGAGAAACCCACCAAAGTTACTTCAAGCTTAACAATGCTTAACTCATGAGCTCCATGTGCCTTTTGGATCTTTGCAACATTGAAGATGTGAAAGAAACTATTCAACTATTTTGTGATGGTGTTTATCATTTTATATTTTAAAGAGATTATTTTGTAAGGAATAACTTTTAATACTATAGTTTCATCTGTTTTCTAGTAAATGTTGAGATATAGTTTTGCTTTTAGATATCATTATTAAGTTACTAGGATGAATACCTTTCATGTTTCGATCTTTAGTTAACTATACACTGATGAAACATACAGGTCTTTCAAAGTCATTCTAAATATTCAACTTTTGTAAATTATCAAATCTCCAAAAGCTTAAAAAAACATAAGCATGTTCTAAAAATTACTGTTGGTGGAGAGATGCAAACAAGTCATACCTTCTTAAAAGAGAAGTTTTTAATAAACTCTTGGAAATGGTACCTGGAAAAGTATAGACTCTCCTACAAAGTTGGTATGATATTCCAGGTAGCTCAATGACGATCACATTGAAGAGCCCTGTGTTTAAAGCATTTATAGGCAACATGTAGCAACAGGGGTACTTCTTGGTGTGCAGTATTTATCATCTCTTTTAGAAGAGGAAATTAACCCTTATTTAACATGGTTGAAGATTTAATGCAATGCCAAGGATGGGTTTTTGGTAATACTGTAGGAATTAGTCTTCATTTTTTTAAATTTTCAATTCAAATAGCATATTATATGCTTAGATTTGGGGAGCTTAAAAAGCTGCTCTTCATGTGATTGAAACCTAATCAACAGGTAGGAATATAATTTACACCAGCATATTTTTATCATGGTAGTAAAATATGCTATAAACTATTTATACATTTTTGCTCTTCATAATTATCTAGTACATAAGCATCATTTGTTCATTTTTGAAAGGGTATTTAAATAGGAATTTTCTGGTTCATATGAAAGTAACCATAGTACAGGATGAATTCTGTCTGTACAAAGGTAAGTTAGACTGTACAGTTAATTTTCAGTTATATTTATGGTACTGTTATGTGGGTAATACCTTTTTTAAGCCCAGTATATATATTATGCCTGCCTAAGTTCTGAACTGTAGTTGTCTAATTATTGATATTAGTTAATTTTGATGGTTGACGTTTTATTGTTTGGAACTGCACAATTTTGTTTTTGCACAAAAGTCATTTTTAAAAATCTGAATAATTGCCAAATATTAGAAGAAAAATATTCTTCAAGTAAAGAATATAGTTTTTAATCAAAGTGGCCATTACCTCCTCTTTTTGTAAGAATAAAGACAATTAAGTTTTTGTCATGTCATGTGCCAAGAAAATTATTTTCATTGGTGCCTACACTTTAAAGATTACTTTTAACACATTTTATTTTCAAGTAATGGCTCAGTTAAAATTTTCACCTTCTATGGAACTGAAACTCAATTACAATTTATAATCTGTAGAGGTTAGGAAATAAACTTGCCACTCATATCATGAGTTAAAAGAATATTTTTATAAAAGTAAAAGCAACCAATTTATAAATTGATTATTTAAAACTTTACACCACAACTGCATCATAAATAGAAATTGTATTGCTTATTCATTGTAGTTATTAGTCCTGTAAACTGTTTCTAGGTGAAGCGTACTCCAGTGTTTGGCGGGGGTGTAAAATAAATATTTAAATTTCATGGTCCTCGATGTTTGTTTTCTTGAGGAATGTATGGTGTGGTATTTTAATTGTTTCAGATCATTTCCCCTTTTTCCTTTAATTTTTTGTGGGAATTTTAATACTAATTGGGACCTAAAAGATATTATTCACATTTTATTAAGCATTGATTATAGCTACAGTGAATATACGTCCTTATTTCTGCCTTCTATCCTGACAAAATTATTAACAGAGTACTCTTTCACTCAAAAATGTCCTAGGTTGAACAATAATTTATATGTTCCCCCTGATCATAGTTTTTATTAGGAAATCTCATAAAGATTTGAATCCTATAGTTCTCTGGGGAAAACAAACTTTACAAAGACTTACAGAAATTGAAACAAGAAACAACATATAAGCCTAAATGAATTTGAGTTTTTCCTAGAGGAAAAGTCAAAGATGAAATTAATATAGGTTTGAGGATGTTTAGGATTAATGTATAGGTGATTGGACTTCAATAGTGGGGTTGGCAAAATTAGGTTTACAATTGTGAGTATGTGAAACAGAGTTAATAAAGCTATTGTAATCATCAAAACCTGCATGTCTTTTTCCATACAAACAACTGTAAACATACTTTTGCTCATCCCTGTATATTCTTATTATAAACTAGCTATTCTATACTTGTGAGTTACTGGACACAATTTCAGGAGCAGGAAAGAAAGTGCTAGACTATGGGAAAGGGGTAAAGGAACATATATTAAAAGGGATTTTTCTGCCCTAACCAGTTTGGCTCAGTGGATAGAGCATTGGCCTGCAGACTCAAGGGTCCCAGCTTTGAATCCGGTCAAGGGCATGTACCTTGGCTGCAGGCACATACCCAGTAGGGAGTGTGCAGGAGGCAGCTGATCGATGTTTTTCTTTCATCAATGTTTCTCACTCTCTATCCCTCTCCCTTCCTCTCTGTAAAAAATCAATAAAGTATATTTTTTTTTAAAGCAATTTTTCTGATGTAAAGACTAAGAGAATAAGGAAATTATTCTATCCATCTTTTCTCATTAAGTCATATATAAAAATAGCTTGCTTATATAATTGCAACACTTTTAAAGTTAGTACTTAACATTATCTTATATGCTTTACTCAAAATTAAAATCAGTAAACAAAATGATGTTCTTAAATAAAATGCTATGCCTTCCAGGGGGAATAGTAGAAAAATTCTGAATGGGTTAAGAATAGACTTTTGGTTTATTAACTCAGTCTGCTTTTAGTACTATCATTTTTTTCAGCTATCCTAATTCTACCACTTCTTTATCCATGACTATACATTTTCACCGGCCTCCCTCCTTTCACTTCTTCAGTCCTTTTCCTTTGTAACAGGCTCAAACCAATCACTCCTGAAATTTATTAAAACAAAAGGAACATAATACTTATAGCATTTTTAATAAATGGATTTCAGTCACTCTGTTAAAATACTATTCATCTCATTTCCTTGCCTACATACATGCAACAAGATATAGCAAAAAAAGTCTTACAGGAGATTAAACAAACCAACAGTTAGCTTTTCTCTTTCACTACATATAATAGATAGTTAAGAATAAAGAAGTAATAAGTTAAACATTATTATATCCTCAGCAGGCATATATCTGGCTTTAGAAAATCATTAACTCATTCATTTCTGAAGATTAGAATTCTGCCAAGTCCTAGAAAAATTATAAACTTGTGGCTGTTGAGAGAATCTATGGCACATCTTGTTCCTGAGCTTCAGGAGGGCCACGATACCCCTAACATATCTTATATAAATTGAAGTTCTTAACATATTACAGGACCATTTTTACTGGGCCCCACACAGATAATGAGGACTGAAACTTTTAGTCATAGTACTATTTAAGAACAAAAATGACTAACACAGTCACGATCTACTAAATCACTAAATGACATAAGAAGCCAGTTCTATATGCCAACCCATGCTGTCACCATTCTTCAGTATTAAGGAGCCTGATCTTCATATATAATGTCTCTATGGGAAAATGTGTCATGGAGATGACAAATACCCACCTCACTTCACCACAGTGCTAATGAGGAGAGGGCATGTTCCACAGTTCTTTTAGAGGGAATAGAAGAGTAGAAGTTGATAAACAAGGCAGCAGTTGAATCTTTCATAAGCCACATGCCTAAACTTCGAAGATTCCCTAAATACCAATGAATAGGAACTAAGAAAATGGTTTATGCAGAAGGTTCCTTCTTTTTCCTAAGTTGGTAACAGAACTGGTCCAAATATGGTCACAGAGTTTACACTTTTAAGCTAAAAAGTAATTACATGGTTTTAACAAAGTCCTGTCTTCAGCAGTTGTATTGGAAGAAACATTTTCATCTTCTTCATCTAGCTGTAGACTACCAGAAGACAAGCGAATTCGGGCCATGGGTGACCTCGTTCCTTTACCATACAAAGAGTAATAGTCTGGTTTAAGAATCTCTGATTCAGAATCACTGGATTCATTAGCTACATACCTTTCTGATGCTCCCTGATCCATTAGAACTGTTGGAAACTCCTGCTCTGCAAACATATGAGTAAATAGGTCAGCTTTACGACTCAGAGCAGGACAAGGCCCTAAAGGTCTAAATTCTGACCCAAAAGGAAAACGGATAGTTTTCATGTCTGATTGGCTGTGGGAGCGTTTAGGGGGTTGCTCTTGAATATTATATGCAAATGCATCTTCTAAATCTGGGTCTTCTAGATCTACGTTGAAGTTACTCCTACCACTTGTCCTATCCATAGCTTCTTTGAGTTCTTGAAAGTCTTGCTGAAAGCTCTTCATTCTGATATTCCTTGGGCTTCTTTTGACTGGCTTCATTGCAGTGGGTTCTAGACAGCTGTCTAGACTTTCCCTTTCCTCTACCATAATTGGAGACCGTCTGGGCACCTGGGGTGGTTTGTCCATATAAAAAAAGACTTGGGGAGGCATAATATCAACCTGCTGACCAGTACAAGGAATATATGGCACATCTGTATATGTTAGCCTCTTTGCTGGACTCACTTTGCTTGTAAGGCCAGAAGATGTGCTCATGTGATTGTCAGCAAACTTACAGCTTGTTCGGAAGGAGCTTAGAGGACTTCTTTCCTCAAAATAGTCTGTAGAATCAGTGTCAGGATCATGGTTAGTGTTAAAGACAGGATCAGTGTAAAAAAAAGAGAAAGAGGAACTGCTTTGCGATTGATGTAACAATGTGGGATCTGCCTCTGGTTTGGAACGCTCCAGCTCTGCTGCAAATGTCACCTCCACTGCAGAGTTTCTCCTCCTACTGTCTAGCACAGGCTCAGATGCGTGCACTCCATTCACATTTCGGTAGTACCCACTGCCATATGCTAGTCTCAAATCTTCCACCTTGAGAGAAAGGACATGTTGGTAAAAGAAGGAAACAGTCATTTGGTTGGGTGGAATCAGGAATCTAAATTAGCCTTAAGTTTTGCAAAGGTGGTTGGTCACAAAGTTATTTCAAATCATCTTCTATTCCAGGGTTGATAAATATATTCAGAAAGGGTAATAACTTGTACCATATCCCAATTCATGTGCAAAAAACACACATGACACTATCCTTTCTCAGTTCCATCCCACTCTCGGGCTCCAAGTTCTCTATGTACTTCAGCCAGCATTGTACTTCAAACAGTATGGTTTAGTACCTATATTAATGAGCCAGGAATTCTGACTTCTGTCCTGGCTCATTGCTGTGTGACCTTAGGTAAGTCTTCTAACCTCCCTGTTCCAGCCTCCTGCCTATTTCTGTAAAATGCTGAGGAGGAGGCCTATGACTGGCATGAGAGGGTCATATATTATATGGTACCTTTCAACATTATACCTTTGTGATGCCTTTCAGATAAAAACTGCCTGTGATTTGAGTGAAGACATAAGAGTTTATGAGACCTATAATTAATTTTTTGTGAGAGTAAAAGACAACATGGTTCATACTATAACACTCAAATGAAGCCATCATCTCAATTTCAGGATAACAGCACTTTGTTCTTAAATTGAGTTACAAAATTATACAGCAAACGTACTTTAAAACTGTAACCCAACACCTTATAGCTTCCTCTGTGCCTAAGTTTTTATAGGTAATACAAAGTCATATATATTCATTTGACTACATTTTTCAACATGTTAGCATTGCATATGGCAATTTAAGCCAGATCCTTCCAGTCTATAAGATACACACCAGTGGTAGTGTACTAAATGCTCTTCTATTGGCTAGAAAGATGGAGCTGACAGACCTCCACAGGAGGCTAACCTACTCAAACACAGTAACTGGGAGATTCTGGCAGAATCAATTCTTGGAAGCTTTTGAAACAACACATTACACTTATCTTTAAAAAAGCATTTTCAGAACCTTACTTGTTTTGAGACATCAGAGAGGAGGTCTGGTGAGGACCTGCACTGTCGTTCATGGTACTGAGATGGGTAATGTTTCCTGAAATTGCCAAATGAAGAATGTATTGAAATGGTGTTTATGTGAATACAGGATACATATAAATCTCTAAATTCAAGTCAAATTCAATGAGAGAGAGAGAGAGAGAGAGAGACAGAACATTGTACCTTTCAAATGGCAAGCTCTTCAACCTCCCTTTCCCCCCATATTCCAAAAGTTGCCTTTGGGTTCTTCCACTATTACAAGAAAAAAGGTAAACATTTTATTAATGCTATTTGTAAGTGAATAGGCTACTAACACTCAAAAGCCTCATTAATTGTTGAAATATTAAGAGTCTGGATGACTAACATATGTCATGAATCTTTGACCAGCATATTAATGATAATACCCACTTAACTAACCAGCAGGCATAGACAACCTCAATTACTCAGATCCCAGAAAATTTTAAAAAGCCTCGGAACAGGGCTCTATAACAGTTGAAAATTCTGGCCTTGGAAACTAATATGCTTTCTTTTTATAGGCATTCTCTCTACTTCCAAATTTACAAATGATTTCTAATGAGGCTATTTTACTGGTTTCCTAACCCATGACAGAAGAAAAACAACTAATTAAACAGTAGAAGATGGTTGCTT